ATTTAGAATAAAGAGACGATGATGAAATATCCTCCACGTCTCCTGTGATTAGTTCAAGGACCATCAAAAATGTTGAAAATCCAAGAGTTTGTTCTGTTTTTACAGTTCATGTCTCTGATAAATGTTGTCATTTTGGCATTTTTAAAAAAAGATAACGTACGTTTCAAACCTGCTGGTGGGTTTTGGGGTTCAGAGGGTTAAAGTTATGATACCTAAGTTCACTGTTGACTCCTTTTTTTCCAATATAGTCCTTTCGACAACTATATATGTTTTAGTTTTTGCTCTTTTTAAGTTTGAAATTGGACATATCATGAAACTTAATTGAGAGAATTCATGGTTTCTTAACTTCCTTGTTAAAAAAAAAAGAAAAAATGTTGCGTTTACATCAATATAATGAAGAAAAAAAATTTATTTCACATTTTTTGCTTTAAAACAAGCTAATAAAAGCAGAATCTATCGTTTTCAGCCCCATAAACTCTGAAAATCTTTGACTTTTTTTGCAAAGTCCTACAATAAGAATAGAATTAATCAGTTAAACTGTACCAGCTGCACATTATTTTGGACATATGTGCGATAAAATTCCACCCTTTGTGCTTATTGTCTACTCGTTTCGTTCTCCTTTCTGGTTTATTATGTGGTTGTATTTTCTACGTGGCCGTCAGTACCTGGCGCCGGCAGCTCCAGCTTGGCCCTGCGGAGCTCCTGCATGGACGCCTGCAGCTGCTCCACCACGAAGTCGTCCTCCAAGAAGAAATCTTTGGACAGCGTCACCTGCAGGAACTCCACCAGCTCCTCCATGGACAGCTTCATCAGGTGCTCTGTGGACCAAACACAAACACGTCTTTAAGCGTTTTTTTTTTTTCTCCAGAGGCGTAAAGCGGCGTCCACGTGAAGCCGACGTTCTTACTCTTGTGCAGTTTGAGGATGGTGTAGGACATCGAGGGCAGAACTCTCTCGCCCTCCAAGATGTAGATGTCCCAGATCCTGAGGGTGAGGGTGAACGGGGTCTGAACACAAACAGAACAGAAGGTTACAAGGTCCTGTTTTCGCTCGGCGCTGCCCGCAGAGTGATATAATGCCGCCGCGGCCATAAAACACAAGGCTGCCTGGACGTCTGTGTTTCTGTTACTGTCAGCAAATCCCACGGACGGGCCGGAGCCCTCCGGGTTCTCACTGTAAAGCTTTAACGGCTCACAAATATACAGTCAGTCAGAGGACGCTGTGAAGCCTGCAGCTCGCCTCCAGAGCCCCCGTTTCTAGTTATGAATCTTTCAAGGCTCGGCCGTCGGAGTTTCTTTATGCTAAACCTCCCCGATCGCTTGTTTTCCATCGGATTGGGTTGAAATTTGTGCTGAACATCCAGGAAACACAGATTTAGAAGTCTTTTCTTTTTCTACTGCAACATAAAGTCCTGCATCGTAATGGAAACGGAACAACCACAGCTAGAAATAGAGAGGATTTGTGCAGGTTGATGCAGGTAGAAAGCCATAAATCATACAAAAAAACAAGAAAAATGAAAGAAATAACTGGAATCAAGTGTCCACAGGTGTTACCAGTACTGGAAGAAAAATAGAGGCTCCACATACTGCAGATATTTTATTTTTTATATTTGTTTTCGTGCTCGTTTCCTCTTAGTTCTGTGTAAACACTGCCCGCAGTTCAGCCGAAAACTCTGAATTTTCCTCACGTGATCGTTGGTTGCAGCTAAATCAGTCACGGCTTCGCAGTTACACCAAGAAGAGCAGAATTTTTTGTTTTTTACAGAATCTGGTTTGAGCAAACAGTATATTTTTGACATTTTTCTAAATAACATACATTTACGACTACTGCAGCAGGCTGCGGGTGAGTAGTTCAAGGACCATCGGAAAGCGGAAAATCGGATGTTTCTCTCTGCTTTTACTGATAAATTCGGTCATTTTAGTGATTTTTAAACAGAATAACGTGTCTTTCTAACCTGATGGTGAGTTTTGAGGATTCAGAGGGTTAAAAATAGGAACTAATCATCCACATTTTCAAAGATTAATATCCACGAGCTTTCATTCTGCCACAGATGTCACTAAATCACGCTTCTGCATTAAAAAAAAAATGCACTTTTCAATGTATTCTGATTTTATATTTTGCCAATGAGGAGGATTTTAAGCTCGTCTTTTACTGGAAAAGGTTCATATTTATTGCAGACATTGAAAAACTGAAGGATGTTTTGTACGTTTCACCGACCGTAACGTTGCATTCACTGGTTTTACTTCATGGATGAGCTTCTGAACTATTTTGGCTTCAAGGTTTTCCATCTCTGAGCGTTTCATTAGATCGAATACAGCAGCTCTGTCATAAATTCTTCCACTTTTATGAAGCTGTTGCATCTTCAGTATATTAAAATAACGATAATTCAACTTAATATTTATATTGATTATTAATTATTATTAGCTGTATTGTAAATCGAAGGTATATTTCTTTTATTTTTTACACTTGCAGCACTGATAACATCCATAAAAACATTTTAGAGCATTAAAGAGGTGGTTTTGTTGTTGTGCAGCTGATTTATCGATATGTGAATATTTTACTCGGCCCCAGACGTCCAGCATCACAACATTAACATTCAATAACAAAGAAATGCTCCAGTTGGCCTTAAAAACACACATTTTCTAATCCACACGTCACATAAACTCACTCTGTCCAGGAAACACTGGAAGAACCACTTCATGGTGTACAGGCTGGTGAACACCTCCTGGTTGTCCTGCAGCAAACAAAAGCCGACAGAGGATCTGTTTAGAGCATCGAGCGCTGACAAATACCAACAATTAACCGTAAAAACTGCACCGATCGCCTTCGTTCTCATCATTCGTCTGCATTAGTAGAATTAATTAAGACACTTTCAAATATCTGTTCTTTAATAATGACGTCTTTCCATCTTAACTCATCAAACTTTTAGAACAATTTCTGAACAATTTATGGCATAAATATTGATATTTATAAAGATATTTGTTAAATTTCTGACTGATTATTAAATATTTTCAGAGATAATTTGAAAAAATGTAAAATTTGCCGATCAACCCAGTTATCTGATTCTGTTTAAATGAGAATAAATCAGGAACTATTGAAGATAAAAGCCTGAAATTTCCACTGCTATTTCTCATCAACTCATTGGTTCAGAATCTGTAATATCGGACAAATAGATCAAATAATCCCTGATTATGCTTGATTTGAAATATGAACAAAAATTCCGTTTTAATTTTCACATCATGCCGGTCCCACTGGGCCCAGTTTATTCCCAATGGGACAAACTTCAAGTTTTTCATATTAAAACTATTTTATATGTTGTTTTTCTTTAAATAATTGTGACCTGAAGCTTCATGAGGTTCAGAAAACATCACTAGCTGACGTCTGCAGTGTTAGTTTTTTGGTTAATATTTGCTCAAAGATTCTCACGACGGCTTCAGTTCTTTTTCATCCTTCATGTCACCCGTAATCAGAGATTATTTGATCTATTTGTCTGAAATTACAGATTCAGAATCAACGACATGATGAGAAATAACCGTGAAAATTTCAGGTTTTTATCGTTAATAGCTCCTGAGATATCGTCGGTTAAACATCCTCGAATTTAATGTGCGAAAAAACCTGCTGAATGTGGATTTATGGGAATTTAAAAAAACAAAAACAAAACAACCCAAAAACATCTAGATTGTTCATGGAACTGGTCAAAATATGAAGAAAACACATGATTATCTATTACATACATGTCCATTAATCAAATACCACCAGTTCACTTTGCCCAGCTTTAAACACACATAATTAACCTGACAGCGTTCTGATGTTCGGACATATTGGGCTCCGTGTGGATCTTTGTTTTCCATTATTCAGCGCCTGCTGCATTATTAACGGCGGCGTCGGGTTTCTCACCAGGTGCTGCTTCAGTTTGGGCATCATCTTCTTCAGGATGCGGTCGTGATGCTCCTGGAAACGCATCAGCTTCGGGAAGCCGGGAACGAAAAACCCTGAAACGGAACGAGTCAGAATCGGTTCATTCTGGAGGTAAAGGCGGCGCTTAAAGAGCAACCAGCAGCCTCGAGTTTTACTCATTTAATGTGTTTGTTAAAGGGCTGAAGAGCTGCTGCAGGATTTTATGTTTCATGAGGCAGGAATGCAGATGAAGAAGTGACATTCTGAGGCCTGCGCAGGTATCGGTGTGGGCGGTGGAGAGTCTGAGCAGCTGTGAATCTGAGAATCACTCAACACTTCAGGCTGAATTATTGTCCTTCTGCACATTAAATTCACAGTTTTGCAAACTACGGAGCTGCTGTCGCGTCTTTTTTGTGTATTTAGTGCAGGTTTGGAGGCTGTTTATCCCTTAAACATGTCTGTATATATGTATATGTGAGTGTTTACAGTGTGCAGCGATCTGATGGAGGCTTTAGTGTCGCTTTTGTCGTTTTGAGGACGCTGGCGAAAGTCCAGAGAGAGTCAAATATGAGCGGTGTGGTGCTTTAGTGAGTAAACCTAAAGTGCAAACTTGATGTTCTTTCAATATATAATATTGTTTAATAGACTGACAGCACAGGAGACGTTCAAAACACCGACTAAGACGTGAAAGTCTCTCCGTGCTGCCACAATAACAGCTGCTAGTAAATCTATTTCTGTCGATTCGTTTGAGGCAAAGTCAGCAACTGATTGTGTCATTTTGGAGCTCGACTCGTTCAGGAGGAAAACAGTTGAACAGTTTTATTTCCGTTTTACCGTGCATGGCGTGTCTCTGGCCCGACAGCAGCCGGACCAGAGCCCAGAAGGCGTCTTCTTCATTCATGTAGATGAGCAGCAGGGCGGTGATCTGACTCATGCCCTGACAGTAGCCCACCTCCTGCAGACGCACAAACACAACACCACCGCTCACTACTGTCCCCACAGATCACATAGAAAACAGCCACCAGGTCTGTAAAGTCCTCCACAACTGATCTCACTCATTAGGCCTTTTATTAATGTTTTATCTGCATCATTTAGGCTTCTCTTCACCGTCTGAATCCAAAGACCGACTCACCGTGTTGTACATGGAATAAGCTGTGAGGACGTGGAAGAGCGCCTGCTGCCTGGAAAACACACACAAACACAACAAACAGTGAACACAAAACCCTTCAAACTACGCTCCTGTACAAAGACCTCCAGCACAAACGTGACTAGAAGAAGAAAACACTGTGTTCTGTGCAGCATGAAGCAGTTTTAAAGCTTTTAGTCCCAATAAAAGGAGAATGAAAGTTGAATTTCTTTGATTATTTATTCCACACGAATCTAAAAAAACCCCCGGAGTCAACAAGGTTTGACATTTACCAACACTGGAATATAAAACTGTGGCTCTACATCCTATAAACCTTTAAATATTTACACTTTTACAACCTCTACAAACTCTGTAAATGTGTTTCACTGTGCTGAACGTATCCTCCAACGTCTTGCTCCTCTGTTCACCGCTTTTGAGCCATGACACATTTAGTTTATTCTAAAAGAAATTCAAAACATTTTTGTCGTGTGTTGTTTGGTCACAGCTGACTGGATCAGAACTCTTCGTTTGTGTCGAGGAGCTCAGAATTTTTTGTTTTTTGCAGAATCTGGTGACGGCAAACGGTTTGTTTTTGGCAAATTTTTTAAAACGAGATATGTAGAATAAATTGATTAAATATCCTGATTTGAAGCTTAGATTTGTTCATTTTTGTGCCTTGGAGGACTTTCTGGATGATAAAAAGGTGCAATTTTGACATTTTAAAAAAGAAAACGTGACTTTTTCAAACCTGCTGCAGGTTTTGGGGTTCAGAGGATTAATAGATTCTGACTTTTTATTGAATGGAAGAGGAAGAGTTGAGGTTAAAAAGCTCCTATTTTGAGCTCTGAGTTGGGATTTATTTGTCAGTATTTCTGCTCTGCGTCTGTGGATCGTCTCTGACTGTAAAGTTCTCACTTGACGTCGTAGCGGTGCATGAACATGATGTGGTCCCTGTAGGTCCGGTTCACGTCCAGGTCGATCTGCCGGATGTCGGGGGACACGCCTCTGGCTCGGGCCTTCAGCTTCTGTAAGAACAAACAGAGAAACAAAGGATGAAGCTGAGAGGACGAAGACGACGTCCACGCTGCGTCCTGAGTGGTTCACTTAACGAGCAGAAGCATCGGCTGCATGTTTATGAAAGATTTCAACAATTTTAACGAGTATGAATTCATTTCCACGTGAAATTTTTAGTAAAAATGCCAAAAAACCTCAAAGAAATAGTTCTAATCTATGATTAACATCTTATGAATGAAGCTTTTTAACAATTCTAAGAACTTCTTGATTCACGCTGAGGCAAAAAAAGGCTTTAATATTGATTATTTAGAAAAATATAGGAAGGATTTTGGACATTTTTGGTTTAAATTCACTCGTTCATGTTTATTTCCAGCCGGAAGAAAACAATTAGTCAAATAAAAATTCATTATAAACCAAAGAAGAAGCATTCTATGACAAAAAAATCTACAATTTTAAGGCATTTAGGCATTAATGTTTTCGTAAAAATGCAAAAAAAAACCCTGCAGAAATAGTTAAAATCCATTATGAATATCTCCTACAGGAAGTTTATTAATAATTAAAAGAACTGTTTGATTGATAATGGGGCAAATAAAGGCTTTAATATTGATTATTTAGAAAAATATAGGAAGGATTTTGGACATTTCTGGTTAAAATTCACTCGTTTCTGTTTATTTCCAGTCAGAGGAAAACCTATTACTTAAATAAAAAGTCATTATAAACCAAATTTTGGCATGAATATAGATATCGTTTTACAGTTTAACCCCAAAATATTCACAGCCAGGCATTTTCTAGAGGTAGAAATCCACTTGGACATGCTTTTTTTTTAGTGCAAATGCAAGAAAACCGACAGAAATATTCCAAATCCGCCATAAAAATATCATATAAATTAAAAATAAAAGCTTTTCTATTGATTATTTAGAACAGATATGAAGGATTTTGGACATTTCTGGTTAAAATTCACTCGTTTATGTTTATTTCCAGTCAGAGGAAAACCACTAGTCTGATTAAATTCCCTCTAAATCAGAAGTTTCTCTGCTCAGGAGGCAGAAAACCTCCTTTTATGTTTTAAACAGTTGATATTTTTTCCACTTCCTTGTTCGCTGTAACTCATCATTAGGCTCCACAGCAGCTCCAGTATTGATCTCCGCTTCCTAATGAGATCCAAAGTTTGTCTCGGCTCAGAACGAAAACACAATGAAGCCTCCGGACCTGCAGCTCAGAGGCTTCAGACCGAGCCGAGGTCGAGCAGGTCCAGGTCTGACCACGTACCTCGTAGAAGTCCTTCTTCTCCTCCTTGATTTTGGGGATGTCGAGCAGCAGGCACCAGACCTCCCCGCGGAGCTGCAGAGGGATTCCCTTATAGATCCTCCGGACCAGCTGGAAGGAAGGAAGGAAGCAGCAGGAAGTCGCTGTTAGAAAACCCTTTCAAAGTAAAACCAGAGACTCTTCAGAGCACATCAGACGTTTAATATCTTTAATTAAACATCTAATGAGGGTAAAACTGTTCGACTAAGATGCTTTTTTGCTTCACTACAGCTGTTTTAATCAAAAAAGTGTCATTTACTATTAAAAAAATCCCAAATTAGGCACATTTCCAGGTTCATGTTTGTATTTTTGGGCTCCACTAGAATATATTTAAATGCTTTAATTGTCTTGTACTGTGCATGGCTGCAGAAGTTCCCCTTTTATTGCATTTTTAACATTAAATCGTGGTTAATTTAATTTGGCTTTTGTGACAAGAATGAACTGAATAAAGACTCTTTCATGTCAAAGTGGGAAAAACAGTGAGAATATTTATGCAATTTTATATTTTACACTGTAATTAATGTACTTAAATCTGCTATAAACATCATTATTTAGCAGATATTTTCTGTTATTTGTGCAGTTTTTCTTTAATCCCATCATTTAAAAAAAAACAAAACAAAAAAAAAAGCATTTATTTTCTTTACTGTTTTGGCACCTTTGCTGCCAGATTATCTTTGTCTTTATTTCTTTTATTTCTTGATTTATTTTTAATGGAATTGCATTAGTTTATCATTGTACAGAATTTCCCTGTTTTGCTAAATCAAGCTGCTCCACACAGAGACGAGGACGTTGGGCCACCAGGATTAAGTCCTGAAGCCTGAACTGGTGGAGCAGCAGCTGATCAAAAGATTCTGCAGGTATCAGGAACCGGCCGGCCGGAACGGTTCTGCTGCGGATCTGGGAGGCGACTGAAGCTGGTGCTGAACAGGTGACGAACATTCAGGAGTTTAAACATCAGGAGGGTCGAAGAAGGAACGAGTGAGAACGAGCTGCTGATTGTTGGATGTTTAATTGTGTTCTCTCTACATCTGATCTCATGTCTAATTATAATATTAATAATAGAAAAAAAAAAAGCTTTATTTCTTCTGAGCTCTAAGCTGAGGGGTTTCTATCATGTGTTGTGGGGTTTTTTTGTCTTTTAAATACATGAGAATAAACTTCAGGTGAAAACTCCTTCAAAATAAAACTTCCTTTTTACCTAAAATCAACACAAACTGTGACTGTCTGTGGAAACGACGTGCAGAAAATAGACTCGAGCTGCACGGTTTCAATGCACACGTTGACACACGTGAACACACACTCAAACACACACACACATACACACCGAGACACACACACACACACACACACACACACACACACTCGGGGGATGATTAGTCCGACAGATGCTCTCATTGACTCTCATCAGAGCCTCATTACAAGGCTGCTGCACGACAAAGTCCCAAGACACACAGACACACACACACACACACACACACACACACACACACACTCGATATTCAGCGTCCTAATATGAAAACACGCCAGCCGAACACGTACATCCGACGCTGATTTATGATTCTTCGTTAACTCTGAGCTCGTCATTAATCAGACGTTTTTGTGGCAGAAGCAGGTTCAGCTCAGAGGTAAAGTAAAGAAAAGGTTGTTTTTGGACACGTCTCTGCAAGATACACTAAAATATGTAGATATATTTGGACAATTTTAGATGAAATCTTTTAGAACGATTCACTGTTTTGGTGAATCACAGCGAACGAATCAAATCAATCACATGAAACATGGTGGTGATCGATGTCAGAGTAGGAGTTAAAACTCCAGCTTAATTCTAATAAATCTCATAAAAAAGCTTCATTTTTAATAAAGTTTGCTAAAAAAAAAAAAAAAAAAATTCTATATGAGTCATTTAATCTCAAATAATCACATTTTTTGAGCAATTTCTGCTCAACCGTATAATTTAATTGTAATATAGAAATAAAAATAATATAAATTCTATTATTTTCTTTTATTTTCTGTGATTTTACTAGATATTATCTGCAATTTAACAAAACAGGAAAAAATCGGTAAAAAAAAAAAAACTTAAAGAAAATTAATTTACCATTTTTCAGTTTTCAATATAATTTTTTTTCCTTCAATTATTTACATTAATTGAAGAAAAAAATGTGAGAAAAACATCAGAGTTCTGATTGTGAACGCTACAGTTATTAATCCAACTGTTAATGTTTTTCAAATTTAATTTAAATGATTTTTGTTTACACTCTTTGCGGTTTTGTTGAATTACACAAAACAACGAGTAAAATAACGAAACAAAAAAACATTAATTTACATGTTAAATGTATAAAACAGGCCAAAACTTTACATAAATCACCAGAAACGTGTATTTTAAGAAACTGGGATTCATCCTTTTACACAGTTTGGCTAATAAATTAATAAAATAAGCAAAAAATACAACAGTTTCACAGATATTTGTCCTGAACCTGGATGCAGACGTGCAGAGACTCAAAGCCTTTGTGTGTTCACATGAATGTAAAGAACTGATCCCATCGAAAGTCGTGACACGAGTCTGAACCACCACGTTCGTGATCCTTTAGTTCTGCTTTTCTTTTCAACACAAGGTCGAAGCTCTTTAGAGAAGCTTCACTTTTGCTCTGATTAGACATAAATAGACCCAAACAATTAGAAAGAAGCCGGAGTTTTTCACAATAAAAGCAGCTTTTCTCACAATAACTCAGGCTGTGCTGTGAACTGCATCGGGTCACGACTGTGGAAGGTTTCTGCAGAGTTACTATAATGCTGTAACCCTGATCCAGATTGATGACGCGTGGCGGCAGGAAACTAAAGCTTCTGCTCTCTTGTACTTTCCCACTGCGGGCGAAATGTTCCCGAGTTGGGAAACAAAACAGTCGACACATCGAGCGCGACCCGTTTCCTCGACTGACAAAGAGAAGAGAAACATCCCCGAAGCTGTAACAGGAGCGACGGAGGAGGAGGAGGACGGACCGACCGTGTCCTTGGCTGGAACTCGTCGTGTCTCTGGAAACAAAAGCGAAGCAGCCGGTCTGAGTGAGCTGCAGCCACGAGTGTGTTTCAAAGCCCCGGCGCTCCACTCAGCACACACCGAGTCCCGGCGGAAAACAAACTTGAAGGACACGCTGAAGCGCCGCAGGCGACGCCGCAACGCGACCCGGACCTGGAACGGCTCTAATGAAGGCAGCCATGACGGATACCTGGCCTCCTCTAATTGTCCTTGTGGGAGGCTGGACGGAGGAAGTGTACATCAGCTGCTGACAGCAGGACTGCAGCAGACTGATAGCAGCGCTGCAGCATTCGTACTCCACTGTGGCTCCAGTAGTTACATTACAATGGATTTGTACCATTATCATGTGTTTTTTAACCAACTCTTGCAATATTTTTATATTAACATTGGATCAGGTCACTATGTTTAACCTCACACCTTTCCTTAAACTACTTTTTATTTTATTTATCATATCTTTTAACCATTCTTACAAAGCCACTGTATAGGTCTTCTATCTTTAACTGTCCTACCCTACTTTGGTTTCTGTTTTTTCCTGCATTCAAACTTAACAAAATCTTTATTATTGAGCAGAAATCTGGTGCTGAAGCTGCTCCTGGTAACAAAATGCTAATTATTAGCTCGGGTGATGCTACATCCCAGCTCTGCTACATAAAACCAGCTGGTTTTAGTTCGCTAAAGTAATTTATCGCTAAGTGCTGCAGAGGAAACAGGCCGAGTGGGTGCTGCTGAAACAATGGACCAGACAACATAAACAACTAAACTCCTCACCTAAACTAAAAGACGAGGTAGCAACACCTCTGCTCCTTGTTTAAAACAACACCGATATGTAGCTGTAATAAAAACCTTATTAAAAGCAATAATGAAAATCGCTCAACATAATTTTTGATAGCAAATCACCATAAACGCACAAAATGGCAACTTGGGATCTTGATGAATAATTGTTAATCGATTAATTGGAATTGAACTGATTAACTGATAAAGTGATGTATAGTAGCTGTAGTACCTGGTTGCGCCACCAGGTGGAGCCTCTTACTGTTTAGCTAGTAAAGGAGCACCACGACAAAGACTTCTGTGGCGGTTAATGACTCCCAGACGAAGCTCATATATCTAAAAGAATCAGATTTTTCCAGGATCATTAGCCAACGTCATGTGCGTCAATTAATTGATTATTTGCTAATAACGCTACTGACTAAAAGGTAAGACATTCATTTAAAATTTGCACCGCTAGCAAGAGTTAGCGTCTTTCATGTACGTTTATTTATTGCATTTTTAGTTTAATTTAATTTATGTAATTTTTTTTTGCTTTCTTTCTCTATTGATGCAAGATCCTTCCTTTATCCCGACACATTCCTATTTATTTATCGTGTTTTCACTGTTTTGTTTATGTTAAAATCGCTATAATAATAATAACAATAATAATACATAATACTTATATAGCGCTTTTCAAGACGTTCAAATGCGCTTTGCAAAAATGTAACAACAAAACAAACAAAAGTAATAACAAATAAGCAAATAAATAAAACATAATGGGAAAGGAGCTTAACGAGAATTATAAGTTGAAAAGATCTGTCTTTATGGA